GTATGTATGCTTGCTACTTGTGTTACAGTGCGAGCGAACAAAAAGTATCCGAAAAGAATAGAATGCAACAAGACATAGCATCAGCCTCACGATTTATGGCATATCATTCAAATTCAATGAACTAAAGAGGTTGTGGAGTTCATCTTCTACACGTCCCTCGACTAGTCGGTCATTTTGACCGCTCTTCCCCACCCTACCGGACGTCGAACCCCTTGATCCAGGAAGCCCGGGAACAGCAGGATCAAGTATGTTCCATCCCAACAACGACTGTTTACGCATCGGAATATTCAACGTGAGACGCCTGCCAAACGAAGTCCAACTACATGAACTGTAAGAAGCCCTGAAGAGAACACGACTCGATATGCTGGTCGTAACCGATGGAGAGACGAATTTCAGAAGAAGCTTGGCACTTGCAATTGGCAAAGAGTAAGATCACTCACGTTAAAAGAATGGATCAGTTTGTTTGGGTGCCGCATATTGTAATAATATGAAAGGCAAATAAATCATTAAAATCATTAAAGAGGTTGTTATCGAGTAGAAATTCGCTGAGTTTCAACCATAGGGTTGATGCAAAATTAATGGTCTTTCTTCAGGACGACTTTTTCCATCAAACTTCCTTTTTTGAAACAGATTCAGCATAGTATTGAAAAGTTCCTTTATCTGTAGATAACAGTGTTTGTAATGAGCTTCTAACGTGATCTTCTAGAAACTTCCGGGCTGATGTCTATCTTTCAAAATTTCAGCCACTGTATGTGACAAGTTGTTTGCAGTACGCACACGTAATTATTAGGTCGGTCCGGAAGCTAGTGCCGTTTTTCAGACCATGCTCAAGGCACTCAGAATAAGGATAGCAAAACGCTCAAAAGGTGTTCAATGCACAATTTCTTCCTCTTTGACGGTGACGTTTTTGTTCAGAGCCTTCGATGTTCGCTCGAATGATGTTGAGAATCTTCAACCCATGTTTTTAGCCCTACTGTTTTGGCTATTTTTTAGAGCATTTTCAACTTTTGACTTAACTTTAATAACAGTTGGATTGAATAAACAAAATACAATACAATACAGTTTTCTGGCATCTCTAACGTGCTTATCAAAATTTTCAAAAATAGTTTTCCGATGCTACCACATTCCATATTTGGGCATCCCATCCCTCACAGAACAACAAACGGCGGGTAACCAGGGTATCATTATATGCAACTTTTTCTCTTCTTTTTGAAAGATTTTATTCCTTTTTATGTTCCGTATTTGAGGACAAAATCATTATAATTTTGTTTACGCGTCCCAGGTTGTATTCAGAAAGTTCAAAATAACCGGAACATTTCGCACCGCTTAAGGCTCAGCTACCTGCTAAGATCAGTGCTGAGTTACAATCTGTTTTTGGAAGCTGCAAATTCCGAAAAAATTCGTCAGTGTTTGTGGCGGTTGTGTATCTCACGATTTCGCAAAAGCAACGCCTTTCGGAAAAATTATTCGAGAAAGCTACTTAAAGAGGCCAAAATATTCCATTGTATTGCAATTTGTTTGTTCGATCTAACTGTTATCAAAGCTAGTTCAAAAGTGGAAAATGAAAATTCTAAAAAATAGCCAAACTCAGGATGGCTTTGAGCTGAAGATTCTCCAGATCTTTCGAGCGAACATCAGAGGACCTTGAAAAACATCACCGCTAGAAAGAGGAAGATAATTTGCGTTGAACACCGCATGGATCTGAAAAACGGCACGAAGTTTCGTACCGACCCTATTTTTGAAGCTGTCTAAACTTAAATAGGGCGCCTCGACAATTTTTACTTTTGCACATCTTTTTTTTGTACAAGATCCTATCATTTTCATTTGAACTACTTGCATGCGCCTACAAGAGAGGTTACTTGTCATTTATACAAAAATGATGAAGGAAGTTATACCCTAATTTCACGCGTATAAGATGCACTTTTTCGGTTTTTCAAGCGTGCGGCTCAGCTGCCTCGTTGTGTTTCGGAAAACGAGACTCTCAGGCAATATGCAGCACAACAAAAGCCCTTCGGCGTGTCTGTTGCTGTTCAATTTTAGAAAAAAATCCCCCGCGTCCTATACGCATGCAATTAGGGTAATTTTTAGTAGCAAGGATTTAAAGAAATCATATTTTTCTCGCGGTTTGGGATAGTATAGATTAATGTGCGCCGTACTGCGAAAGGTCTGCTGCTTCTAAAGGTCTCTACCGGAAACAAGCCAAAATGAAAATTTGCGAAACGCTCATTACTTTGCATCAACCTAATACATTGCCAGAAAAATTCCAGGAGAAGGCAGTCAATTAGACCATATCCATTGAGCGCAAAAGACTGCTGTAGCATTAGGTTCCGTCAACCACCAGATCTCAGAATAGAAACACTCAAATCCTACGTTCGGGAGAACTTACGATCCAGAAATTTGGAGAATCCACCTTACCTCTCAACTATCTGTCTCTTTTCTTATCTTTATGAATCATTCGAATATGATCCAGGTTTCTTCTACAGTATAGAATTTTGAGACCAAAAACGGTTAATTTGATGTTATAGTAAAAAGAAAGGAGAAACCTCTGAGACTTTTTTGCTGGGAGCAATCCTTATGAGAATATTCTCGTAAATGTACGGACTATTACAGTTTAAGTGTGTATTTCTTCAAAATCAAGCTCGAGACTGGACTACAAAATTCCGGAATGGGAAAAGCGTACGCCCCTATGATCTAACCAAACTGCTACATCGTACGTATGGTCTCAAGCAAGGAGTGATTGCGCGCGTAGCATTAGTAACTTATGACTACCTAACTTAGCTCGGCCTTTTGGCAAGGGACATATATGTTATGAATCAGCTTCAAACGCTCATTCCAAATATGCTATTCCTAGCTGCCGAGCACCATTCCAAAGCGAGTCATGAGCTTCTTCCTGCGCAAAATTGGCATACTACAAGACATAGGAAGGCTGCCTGTAGATAACAATTTGCAAGAAAAAGGTGCTGAGATATCGAAATAACACAAATCCATTCTTTTATCATTAATGGAAACCTAATGCAAGTGTATTAGCATTTAGGTGATGATGCCGTGATGCCAGTGAGTTGATGTGTACGACAATTTTGCGCAGGTCCATAACGAATGGTGCTGGGCAGCTAGGAATAACATATTTGGGGTCAGCGTTTGAAGCTGAATCAGAATATGTATGTCCCTTGCCAAAAGGCCGAGCTAAGTTAGGTAGCTTCCCTTGTTAGTATCAAGGAAAATGATTAGAGACTCCAAAGTAATGCCCACTTCATGTTACATAGAGTTCATTGAGGAACTCCTTAGGCAAACACAGCTGAACTTCTCCTAGGCTAGGTTTCATATTTGGCTCTAGATAAATCTTCCCTCCTCCACTCCTCGGCTAATTCAGAATTTGTTGCACAAACAATTTCAACTCCTCAAAAACCTCTTCTTATCCTTGATCTTAGAAAGTACAGAGAAATTTTTGTTTGAGAACGTTCAACCATGCCAAAGGGTTTATCTCTCCGATGCTTTCTGATTTTTCTAAGAGTCTAGGTGATTGACCGAATCAAATTTTTGTATTTAAAAACAAATGTACCTCAACTGAGTATATGCAGTCTTGGCTGTTGAGAAGCCAAATATGAGCCCTTATTGCTAAGCGGGGAGACACTTTTGTTACACTTTTCCAACACTAAATTGACAAAATGTTTTCCATTTTGCAGGATTTGGTAAAATGCTTACAGAGTTTGAAGTAGTCCTCTGTCGTTGCATCGTGCGTCTGATAATGGCACACCCACAGCTTGCTTTGACAGTTTTGCAGCTGCTTTTAGAGAAGTGTTGAAGTTGTGCGTCAAAATGACCTGTAAGCTTGGCACATTTTTGCAAAAAAAAATTTCTGGTATTGTACAATTATATGCAAAGGAAAATCACGAGGTTTGAATGTAACGTGTTTGAATTTCGCATTAAGTTCTTACCAGAGGAGAACCCAAAGTCGAAGTCAGCTTTCCAAACAGAATACAAACTTTGAAGAGCATCGAGGGCTGATTCCAATGCTGCCTTTGCTTTTTGCCAAGCTCTTCTAGGCGCTGAGTTATGAGTGTTTTTTGAAGCGAAAAATGTCACTAAAATCTAGGTAAAGTCAATGGTTATGGTCTTTCTAGGCTCACATATAGAAATGTTGAGTACGAATCTAATAGAAAGAAGTTTTTCCATGCTTAGAGTGGTCTGACTCAGCGTCTAGAGGCGCTTGGCAGATAGCAAAGGCAGTACTGGAGTCAGCATTTGATGCTCTTCAGAATGGTATATAATTCTTGTGAAAAGCCTATTTTGACTTTCCCTAGTTAGTTGAGTGGTAACGTAGAATAATTCTACTTAGTTTGACAGTTACTATATAGTCTCATAAAAGTAAATAAGTACAGCATTTACCACCATCTCACTACTTTGAGCTATGTGGCATTTGCTAAAGAAAGAAAAAAAATGTAGAGACTGCAAATTGGTGCATGAGCTGTGCTTCATCCTTTACGTGATCTGAAGTGTTTTTTTGGATAAGCATAATCAATCGGATCTAAGGCTTTGAAAATCGAGATTGCGTTAGGTTGATAAGATCAAACAATACAAAGTCCAAGCCTTTTTACCTGAAGAAGCAGCTTACAATGCGAAAGTTGTGAACATTATTATTGATAGGTAAAAATGTGGTAAAAACGACTTTCCTTGCTCGCAGCTCTTCTTTTGTAGCAAAGTTTAATGCTGATTCTGCCAATGTAGTCATAGACGATTTCTTTTGCTGTAAAACCTGCAAAGAGAACTGCATCCCCTTCATCTCTCTCCATAAATCAGTCTCTTCAAAGAGCCGTTTGCTAAAGCGTAATGCTAGTGCACACGTATGCCATTGTGACATGGCTAAACGATACTGCAAATAACCAGAGCAGCGAAAAACACTTTTGTATCATTCATAACATTAAACATAGGAGATGTGCAGGAAGGCCGAACAGTAGCGCCGTAGCAGTTCAAAATTTAGCTGTGCGGTCAATCGAAAACATATGTTGTTTGAAATATTTGCCTTCTATTTATATTTTATTAGGGTAAGTTGAAAGTCGCTTAGTTATTTAAAGCATTCTTCGAGTTCAGGTACCGATCTTGGCTGCTCCACCTCCAACTACTAGAAGTGATGACCCTCGCCTCAAATCCGAGCTTGACAAAATCAATGAATGCTTTGGTCACGGAGAATTTGATGTAAAGTGGAATGTTTATGTTTTAAAATTGGCTTTAGCCCTGGTTTGTTTACAAAGTTTCGATGTTGCCATAGCAATCAACCAACATTTTGCAGAAGTTTTGCTGCGATTGCGGGGAACCTTTGAAGGATGTGATTGGAGCTAAGTGGCCGACTGGAGTAGGAGATCTTTACTTAGCTGTTACCGTTAATGAAGGCATATTTCACACACTCGCGTTTGTCGCAGCATCTCAGTCATTACTTGGTTCAGCACATTTTGCATTTCAGGATAGAAGAAGGACGATCGGAGAGAGAACAAGCAATACGAAGCAAAATCTATACGGTGAGAAGTCAGTTCCACATTTTGACGGAAATAGCTTTTGCATTTACGGGGTTTTTGTAGGAGGTCCAAAACTTGCTACAAGCTACAGTAAAATCCAGTGATTGATCAGATAAACTTTCGTATTTCTCAGGGCACTTTATTGAAAGAAAATTTTGGTGTCTTCCACATTTCCAAGTGTTTTCATTGAGAGTGTAAAGGCTACTGCATGACGAAGGCGCAGAAGCGGTATTAGCTGAGCGGGCGCGAACGCGTCGCGCGCGTGTCCTCACCGTTGTAAATCCTGCGCCTCATGCGCTGTGGCCAATAAAGCCGCGTTCGTGCCCAAAGATATTGCGCCTTCGTCATGCAGCAGCCTATACATACAGTGACCGCCAAAAAGTTGCGGACAAGCCTCCCTCCCTTTTTCATCGCTCTATTTCAGAAGCAAAACAAGGATAAAAAAAAATGTAGAAAAATGTAGTAATTGCAAGTGGTGTAGAGCTCTTCAAGATCTACAATTACACTTTGCGTTTTTCGAAAAACATGTATTCTAAAAATTTTAAAAAACTTTTTCTAAAAAAAGTCGGAAAATGGCCGCGTCACAATGTCGAGGACAATAATTCTTCGAACGCAAAAATTTTCTTTTGAGTCCTGTTCTGAAGCGGAAACACAAGTAATCCAAACGGGTAAGCATACTACTATACAGAGCTCGTCAAGAACTACACACTGGTTATGGTTGCTTCCCAAAAAACACAAGCTTGAGTTTTATTTTGCTTTTTTTTTCAAAAATAACTTCTAATTCTCCTTTTTAAGCCAAGTTTCTTTACATGGAAACCTATTCACGACATTCCAACAACTCTGTTCAGATAAGGTAGATGCTCTTTACCATTCTCCATGCATCTGACGTGTGCTGATGAGTTTCTTTGCTGAAAATGGCTTCTGACAGTGCTGTACATGACCCCACCTGCACCTCACCACTGACTTGTTCCGCTTTGCAGTCTTGTAACTCGGCTTGTAGTCAATTTGTGAGCCTGCAATTAGGCTCATTCGAAAGAACGAGACTTCTTCTACACGATGATATGCAAAAGAGATGAATGTAAGAAACAGCGGAGATTTGGCGGATGGGGTGGAAAAATGCGGCCTCAGTGGTGGTTGGAGTGAAGGCTCTTATCAACACCAAAACAGTTCTAGAGCTTCAAAATGGATCTATTACAAGAACATTGACAGTTTTAAGCTTCCAGGATTGAACTGGTAGCGAAAGAAGCTCTATTCAACTTTAGCTGGATATCCTCACCCTACCACAGAGGCCGCATTTTTCCACCCCATCCGCCAAATCTCCGCTGTTTCTTACACCCATCTCTTTTGCATAACGTCGTGTAGAGGAAATCTCGTTCTTTCGAATGAGCCTAATTGCAGGCTCATACATTGACAACAAGCCGAGTTACAAGCCTGCAAAGCGGTACAAGTCAGTGGTGAGGTGCAGGTGGGGTCATGTACACGCACTGTCAGAAGCCATTTTCAGCAAAGAAACTCACCAGCGCATGTTCGATGCATAGAAGATGGCAAAGGGCATCCATTTTATCCGAATAGCTTTGTTTGAATGTCTTGCATGGTTTTCCATGTGAAGAAATTTGGCTTGAAGCAGGGAATTAGAAGTTGTTTTTTGAAAAGAAGCAAAATAAAATTCAAGCTTGTGTTTTCTGGGAAGCAACCATAACCAGTGTGTAGTTCTTGAAGAGCTCTGTATAGTAGTATGCTTACCCGTTTGGATTACTTGTGTTTCCGCTTCAGAATAGGACTCAAAAGAAAATTTTTGCGTTCGAAGAATTATTGTCCGCGACATTGTGACGCGGCCATCTCCGGGCTTTTTTGGAAAAAGTTTTTTAACATTTTTAGAATACATGTTTTTCGAAAAACGCAAAGTGTAGATTGTAGATCCTGAAGAGCTCTATCACCTCATACAATTAATACATTTATTTATCCTTGTTTTCCTTCTGAAATAGAGCGATGAAAAAGAGAGGGAGGCTTGTCCGCAACTTTTTGGCGGTCACTGTATGTGGGCACAGCAGTGAACCGATAAGAGACTATTCTAGATACTGAAAGATAGAGAAAAGAGAGAAGGCAACCGAATTTTATTCAAATGCAAAGCATCGCCGAAAGAAGGATTGACTTGTATATTCCGAAAACGCCCACCTTGCTGCATTTGTCCAGTTCTTTCAAAAGATGAACTGTAAATGGACTGTATGCGTATTATTTTCATCTCCATATTTGTTTATTTGACTTGTAAATCTCAACAGCTGCTCAAGGGTACTTACTGTTGCAATTTTTGGTGCAAAAGAAAAATCTCGTTTCTTGTATTGTTTTCCTACAATCGGTTTTCGTCGTATCGATATGGCTTTTTTTACAAGTTTTGTGCAATCGCATATTCTTCCCCTACAAAACCAATGTGGCGGGCTGTTGCAACTACTCGATGAGAACTTTGAAGTTATAAATACTTTCCTAATAGGATAATTGAAGGAAAGGGAAAAATTAAGAAAGTAACAGAAATACACCTTCCACCAATACTTTCCCGCTAAGACTCAACCACTACTCGGAATAATTCACCGAAGTTTCTGACAATGCACTAAGCATACATAGACAACCCGCAAGTTAGTTTTATAGGGTGCGGAAAAAGTACTGTCCCTCCAGCTTGGCTTGTAAAATCAAACATAAAGCAAATCTGTAGTTTTTTGATTCCCACATGTAGGTGTGATCCTTGAGATTAGATGAGGATAAGTTTGATTCAAAACTGTTTCCTTTCTGTCAGCTTGAACGAGTGATAACAGCGCGCAAGAACATTAACGATGCGCCGACAGCATACAAGCGCGATTTTGTACCGTAACTATACCACCAGCATTGATATAAGGTTCAAATTGAGCTGCTATGTAGAGGATAACTTCTGCTCCAATATTTCATACCCATTGCAGATTAATTATAGCTTGGTGGTGTCTTGTTTTGGCTAAATAAGGAAGATTGTATAACGCGAAAATCGCAAAAATTCTCGAGAAGAGGCTAGTCAGGAGCTCTCGCTTAATGGATTGGATCCAAACTATAATTCGAAATTCCAGATTCCAAAAAAAGTAACAGGAATAATGAAAAGAGCAGCGGACTTCGTCCACGTCATGGTTCTGGAGCGATGAACGATTGTACTTTATCTCTGTGGCACGTTCTCTGATCGCCCTCCGGTGCTCCGCAGCCACTCTCTCGTCAGAAAGATTCAGAGCTTTTCTCCTAGTGCAACCGCTGACTGGCTACTTTCAGAATATTTCGGGGTCTACGACGACAATTCTTAAGCTGTAGAGGATTTCTCAATTTCGCCTTAGAAACAAAAAACTTCCCAAAAATCTTCACTTTTTCGCATTTGTAACGGGAAGTTGCAAAATTTGATATGAGATGCGCTGCGAAAAGGGATCCGCCGCCGGGTGAAGTTGTAGAGTTTTTGAGCCAGTTTCTGTAAAGTGCTAGAATATCTTTGCATCTTGAGATTTATGCCAAATTTACCAAAAAATCTGTGAAGCACGCCGATTTTTTTGAATTCATTTTGAGGGGCAATAATTTTTCCGCGCCCTGTACAAATCTATGGCATTCTGAAAGAATCTTCGTGGAAAAGACGGGTTAAGGCGTATTGATCGTAACGAAGCGGTACTCAGTAACGTTGTTCAAGAAGATATTCGCGAAGTCTTGGTATTTGAAGGAGAATTTCACATAGATTTAAAACTATCAGATATTCCAAATTTCAATGGTTCACCGTTGCGGCATTGATCAATTTTCATCAATCGCTTCTTTTCTCCAAGAAATGCAACTAAGAATGTAAATCGTTCAACTTCTACGAATTCTGAGCAGCGACGTTTTCGTCGCGGCGACTGAAAACCTTTTGCTAAAGGTCGATTTTGAACATTAAATAGTGTGTACGAAGTTTGTTCGAGTTTGTTTGATTTACTTTGCTCGCTAGATAAGCTGGTACCAACTATAAAATGATTTTTATCGCAAGTTATCTTTAGCAGCCTAAGCTTAGATGACCGAACCTGAAGATATCTTATTCTCCTGCTTCTATCTCAAAAGCTGCGCCTTGTTAGAGAGCAGCAAAGACACCATCACAAGGTTATCCTTTCCTCTAGCTAGCAAAATTAGACTTGGGCAATTAGGTCGAACAAGCGAGAAGTAATGATTCTTCAGAAAAGGTGCGACAAAACTTTTGCACCAACCTAATATTTTCTATGGATTTCATTAATATATGTGTCGTGTTAGTAACTGATCAGTTGTTTCTCAGAGTAATCCGCCTCGCGTAGTCGATCGCATTCTCAGAGTGCGCGGGAATAGAGCGTTATAAAAGGCGCTCACTTTTCACCTCAGCCAGTTCAATCGTTTATTTATCTGCATCTTTCATTATTTATTATTTTTTCCTAATAATAAATATTCCTGTCTGCTCCTGCGTCCAACAGATGAGGATTCAAAGAGCGTCCGAAGAGTGACGGACACAACAATATGCATGGACATTACTCATGCAAATGTAAATGAAAACTTATCAGTGACTAATTGGCAAACCTGGCTCCGCCCGGCCCTGTCAATAACATATTTGTAATCAGCATGCTCGATTACCCCGCTGTGCCAACTCCCAGCCCCGTAGTTCAAATTTTGCAAAAAATCGATAAAATCGATATGGATCGATAACGAAAAGTAGCCTATGACACGACCCCGCCCCGAAGTATATGTGTGCCAAGTTTGGTTCAAATCGGTTCAGAAATAAAGATTTCTATTCCGCATATACATACAGACAGACATTCAGCTTTATATATAAAATTGTCACTCTCTTGAAATGGTGGCAAATATTTCTTATTTGATAGAGTAACCCATAGAACGGATAAAGTCAGTTCCATTCTTCAATAAGCATACTTATCTGAGAATTTGAGCATTTGTTCCCAATAAAGCAAAAAGACTTTGCAGAATTTCTTTCTCCCATCCAGACCTTCTGCAAAAATCTTCCGACGTCTCCGAAAGGGATACAAAATTGGGTACTTTTCCGTTATCCGGACCCATTTCTT